ATAGTGAGGCCTTGTCTCAAAATAAAATAAACAAATATGGCCTAAAAGTAGACATGACGGTGGGAGAAGTGGCTCAGCTGTTAAGAGCACTGGCTGCTCTTCTAGAGGCCCCAGGTTCTATTCCCAGCACTCACATGGCAGCCCACAACTGTTTTGTTCCAGGGGAGCCCTGGCACCAGGCTTGCATGTGGTGCACATGTTTATGCATGCAGGCAAAATACTCACACACGTATAATAGACATAAAATAAATAACTCTTTAAAAAAGTAGGCATGAAACTGTTTGTGGAAGAAAGGCCTCATTGGTTCTCTAGAGAAACAGAATCAATGGGATGAGTATATATTAAAGCCATTCATTTAGGTTGGCTTACCCAACGTTATCACAGTAGCCCCACAATGCTTTTCTCCTACTGGAGAGGCTGAGAAACCAGCAGTCCCAGTCTGGAACCAAAGGCTGAAGGGAGGTTCCTGGAGCCCTCTGGTCCTCAGTCCATGTTGGAAGCTTGAGAACATTAGTTCTAATACCAGCCAAGAATGGCAATACCCCCCAGTAACAGAGACAGAGGAACTTGCCCCAGAGAGCCGAGGTAGGCAGGTAAAAGCTTCCATCACTGCTACTGGGAGGTGACCCCACATTTAGGCAGGTCTCCCTACCCATGCCTTTAATCCCAGCATCCTATGAGCCTGAGGCCAGGCCAGTCTACATGGTGAATTCTAGGACAGCACAGGTATATAATGAGATCCTGTTTGAAAAAAAAAAAAGAAGAAGAAGAAAGAAAAGAAAGAAAGTTTAAAAAAAAAAAAAGCCCCTTACAGTAGTGTCCCACAACAGCTTTTAGTTGATTGCAGATGTACCAGGTTGACAACTGTGGCTCACCATCACAACCCTCATCAACTTGACATTCAACTGAATCGCTTTACATCACTCTTAACTTCCAAATGAAAACAATACCAAAATCATAGTTCTGCCTAATGTGCTATAACCTATGTGTACAACTGAAATTGCAGGCTGCCCTTCAGCCCTAGCCAGGATTATTATAATTTCCTAATTACTTTCCTTGTTTGTTTCTACCAGCCAGCTTTTGCCATAGCAGAAACAGAAATTTTTCTGTAATGCACATCAGAAAACTTTGCTTAAAATTGTTTGACAGTGGAGCTACAGAGATTGCTCAGCAGTTAAGAAGACTGGCTTCCCTTTCAGAGGACCTGGGTTTGATTCCTAACACCCCTCATGGTGGCTTATGGCTGTGTGTAACTCCAGTCCCAGGGAATCCAACGTTCCTTTTGCCTCTGCAGGCACTTATATGGTTCACATGCAGGCAAAAAGATTCATCCACCCATCAATATATTTTTAATTAAAAATAGTCTTTTAACTACCTATATATCATGCTCACAACCTCATTGAACTTCATTTTTCCTTTCTCTTTTTAAAAATATTCAAATACTGATTTATGTATTGTGAGGTGGGGTAAAACATGGCAGGCATGTGGAGGTCAGAGGGCAAATTTTGGAAATTGGTTTTCTTCTCTCCTTCCACCAAGTAGGTCACAAGGCTTGAACTTAGGTCTTCAGGCTTGGCACCAAGCACCTTTACCCACTGATTCATATTTAAATAATTATTTTTTTAAGATTATTTATTTATTAATACAATATTCTGCCTGCAAGGGTGCCAGCAGGCCGTAAGAGGGCACCAGATCTCATTATAGATGGTTGTGAGCCACCATGTGGTTGCTGGGAATTGAACTCAGGACCTTAGGAAGAACAGCCAGTGCTCTTAACCTCTGAGCCGTCTCTCCAGCCCTAAATAAAAAATTTTTAAATGTTTTTATGTGTATTGTTGTTTTGCCTACATGTATATCTGAGCACCACATGTATGCAGTGCTTTCAGAGGCCAAAAGAGGGCAGCAGATACCCTGAAGCTAGAGCCATGGTGTGGCTGCTAGAATGGAACTGGGATCCTCTGAATGAGCAACCAGTGCTCTTAACCATTGAACCATCTTGTCATTCCCTACTGATGCACCTTGCTAGCTGCCTTTCCTCCATTTTTATTGCCCAATATTTTATCATAGTTTTTAAAATGTTTAATTATATCTATCATCTGTCTATCTATCTATCTATCTATCTATCTATCTATCTATCTATCTATCTATC